GTTGGTTCATGTAAATTTCTTCCTCAAGATCACCATTTAAGAAGGCTGTTTTTACATCCATTTGATGGATTTGAAGACCATACAAGGCGGCTAACGCTATTAGCATCCGAATGGATCTAATTCTTGTTACCGGCGAGTATGTGTCAAAATAGTCAAGACCTTCTCGTTGTCTAAATCCTTTGACAACAAGTCTTGCCTTGTATTTGTCAATAGTACCATCGTCTTTCATTTTCTTCTTGAAAATCCATTTAGAACCCAACGTTTTGTTACCTGGAGGAAGATCAACCAATTCCCAAGTATGATTGCTCAATATGGATTCTATTTCACTATTGACAGCTTCTTTCCAATATTGTGCCTCTGAGGAAGACATTGCTTCCTTGAAGGTACGAGGCTCATTTTCTAACAGAAAAGTCAAAAAATCTGGACTGAATGAAGTAGATGTCCTTTGATGTTTACTTCTTCTTGGATTTTCTTCATTAGGCATACCATCTATTATTTTCTCTCGAGGTCGTTTTGACTTTTGGTAGGTCACTTCACTTTCCTTTTTATACGGATAAATAGTTTCAAAGAATTCAGCATTATCTGATTCTATTATCGTATTAACGTGAATCTCTGGATTTTCTGATTTATGAACCAGAAACCGATATGCCTTGCTATTGGTTACATATCCAATAAACACACAATCAACCGTTTTTGGACCTATCTTAACCCTTTTAAGTTTAGGAAATTGTACCTTAGCTAAACACCCCCACACTTTGAAGTATTTCAAGCTAGGCTTCCTTCCTTTCCACTTCTCATAAGGAATGGATTGTGTTTTACTATGAGGTACACGGTTGATTATTCGATTAGCTGTAAGTATAGCTTCCCCCCACAAGTTCTGTGGTAAGCCATAACTTATTAGCAGTGCATTCATCATCTCCTTCAACGTTCGATTCTTCCTCTCCGCAATTCCATTAGATTGTGGAGAGTAAGGGGCAGTTGTTTGGTGAATAATGCCATTTTCCAAACATATTTCTTCAAAAGGAGATTCATATTCGCCACCCCTATCACTTCTTATCATTTTGATCTTTTTGTTTAGTTGTGTTTCAACTTCACTCTTGTATTGCTTGAAAGCATCAATTGCCTCATCTTTACTATTAAGTAAATAAACACAGCAATATCTCGTGCTATCGTCAATAAAAGTAATAAAATACTTTTTCCCACCGCGAGATGGTGTTGACTTCATGTCGCAAATATCTGTGTGAATTAAGTCTAAAGGATTTGAATTCCTTTCAACGGACTTATAAGGATGCTTAGCATACTTTGATTCCACACATATTTGACATTTGGAATTAATGCAATCAAATTTTGGCAATACTTCTAAATTTATCATTTTTCGCAATGTTTTGAAGTTGACGTGACCTAGGCGTGAATGCCATAAAGTGTTTGACTCAAGTAAGTAAGAAGAAGCATTAACTTTATTGATAGGAACTGCTATTACATTTAGCTTAAAAAGGCCCTCATTCAGGTAACCTTTTCCTACATATACATCATTCTTACTTAGTACAACACTATTAGAAACAAAAATACATTTGAATCCATTCTTGACAAGAAGTGAGGTAGACACAAGATTCTTGCGAATTTCTGGAACATGGAGAACTTGGTTTAGAGTTACTATTTTTCCCGACGTCATCTTCAATGCAATCTTGCCAACTCCTTCAATTTTGGCTGTAGACGAATTTCCCATGAAAATTATCTCGTCAGGTCCTGCGGGGGCATAAGAAGAAAATAACTCCTTGTTAGCACAAACATGGCGGGTGGCTCCAGAATCTATCCACCATTCTTTAGGATTTCCTACCAAGTTGCATTCAGACAACATGGCACACAAGTCCTCCATTTCTTCAGCATTTTCAACCATGTTAGCTTGATTCTTCTTCTTCTTATCATTCTTTGGTGCACGACAATCCACGGCCTTATGCCCAGATTTTCCACAGTTGTGGCAATTACCCTTGAACTTTTTCTTGCTTGGGTAATTCTTTGGTCCAGAAGCCTTCTTTCTCTTCTTATTTTGTGCCGCTTCCTCAACAATGTTAGCCCTTATTATTGTCGAGTTTCCACGTAACTTCTTTTCAGCATTTTTGTTTTCTTCTTCTATCATCAAACGAACAATCAAGTCTTCAAGTGTCATCTCCTTCCGGTTGTGTTTTAGATAGTTCTTAAAGTCCTTCCACAATGGAGGTAACTTCTCAATGAAAGCGGCGACTTGAAAGGCCTCATTTATGACCATGCCTTCAGCAAGGAGATCATGCACAATGACTTGTAATTCTTGGACTTGAGTTATGACCGACCTAGAGTCAATCATCTTGAAATCCAAAAACCTTGCAGCCACGAACTTCTTAAGTCCTGCATCCTCAGTCTTGTACTTCTTCTCAAGCGCATTCCATAACGCTTTTGAAGTTTCTATGACACTAAAGACATTGTACAAGCTATCTTCCAAACAACTCACAATGTAGTTTTTGCACAAGAAATCAGAATGTTTCCATGCTTCAGTTACAACAAATCGTTCGTCATCCGGAGAACTTTAAGCCAGGACCGGAGGATCCTCCTTGATAAATCGCTGCAAACTCAACGTAGTAAGATAGAAGAGCATCTTCATTTGCCAACGTTTGAAGTCAATACCGAAAAACTTTCCGGGTTTTTCTGCTGGTGCCATAGCATGAGCAGGAGTTGAACGGCTTGACGAGGCAGCAACACTCGTAACAGTAGCACCCGTTCCCGCAACATTTCCATTAGTTTGGTTTTCATTCGTCATTTTTCTGTAGAGTTGGAAACAAAACAGAACTTTGTTAAATCAGTGAAGTTTTGATATCTTCAAACTGAATACCAAACCAAACATACAACACGTAACAACGGTGAAGTTTTTATATACTTCAAACCCGTACTTTTATTATTCCGGTAAAATTTTGATATACTTTAAACCGGATAGAACAATTATTGGAGTAGAAAGCACGAAGGCTTTAGTCTCTAAACCAGTATACAAAATATAAATAACAGTTTAATATATATTTCAACACAGAAACGTTAGTATTAAAATTCCTTAAGCTTGTTGTTCGCTACTATGTTAAAACACAAAATCAAAAAACTGTTAGAAGAATAAAAGAAACTGAAAAACAGTAAAGAATAAGAAATATTCCGAGTCCACAATTTGCTTGTGCGTCCTTAAGGAATTTTAACCCCCTCACAAGTTGCCAAGGTAATGGATTAAATCCTCCCAGGATGAAACGGAATAAACCTTCTTGCAACAGTGGCAACACAAACTGCAGGATACCAACGAACTCAAAGAACGGAGCAAAATCACACTTACGAATTTGAGAGAGAGAGACTGCGAATTAAAATGCAGTATTTTCAGAAAGAAGGAAGTTCTGTAATGTTTTTGGTGTATTAAAAACGAAGTCATGCCTCAGAATTTAGCAATTATTGGAAGAGGTGTGATGTTTGTTCTGGAAAAGGTGTCTGTTCAGAAGTTTACGCGTCCTGCCGCGGTTACGCCAGGACCGCGGCCAAACTAGCCTTCTGAATCTTCAACAGTGATCTGACATTTAATTAATTATTAAATAATTGACAAATCCGAAGCCGAAGCCGAGCGAGCGACGGCGACGGCGCGAGGGTTCATTCTCTTCAACTCCTTTTAAGAGCTTTAAGAAGTGATTCTATATATAAGCACACAAATGTAGTTGTCCCTCACCAATGAGGGATAAAGTGCAAGTCAAAAGCTCACTTTATTCAAATTTTCATTTCCCTCCATTTTATTTCCCACCATTTCCAATTCACACTCTTAGACTTTAAAGCCCAATGCTTAAAGTCTTTGAAGTCCAATGCCTTTAAAGTCCAACACCTAATGGTATAAGAGTTGCTTCTTATCTTTGATAAGCTCTGCAGTATTTAGTTTGTTCTTTTGCAGGTATTTGTTTTTTTATCTCGAATAGTCTTTCTAGTATCCTCAACAGTTAAATTTTGTTTCTTTCTTTCTGAGATGTTGGATACTGATCGACTGATTGTTGGTTATATTTGTATTAGTAGGCAATGGAATGGTAAAAAGGATATCAATTGTTAATAAACAGTTAACTGATATTGGCATAGTTTGGATCTCAACAGCTTTTATACTCCAAAATAAGTTCTTACAATACCCTTGAGCTGATATTATCTGCTACTAACAATAATAATCTAAAATAAAGGGAAATCAGTGATTTGAGCACAATAAAAGTGCAAGTTTGTTCAGTTCAACAGATGCTACTTGGGTGTTGTTCTCTTTGCATTTATGTTTGTGCTAAACATTTTGTTTAATACAATGACCTGAACTTTGACTAACCTTAATGTTGGTTGTCTTTCTATATGACTACCTTTCGGCGTAGTGATTCGTGCTAGTTGGGGTAAGGGTCGGTGAACCTTATGAACTTCTCTGTTGTCTACAACAATAGAACAACTACCAGTAGTTTGTTCTTTCCCTTTCTGCTATTGTGCACTGAAAGTGGAATATGCCAACTCTCTGTCCAACCGAAGACATCTATACTTTTTTTTTTGTTTAAGATTCAATTTACATGCATTTTATAGTTTCTTTTTTTCATCATTGTATTTTATAATCTCTGTTGCCACATGTATTTTTCCTTTTAACCTTGTATTGCCCTTTCTGGATCAATATAGCTACCATGTTCCTAAAAGGTACTTCAAAAAATTGTGGATGCCTCACCATCCCATAATCCCTTTTTTCTTTTTCCTTCTTTTCGAGAAAAGCTTGAAATGAATCAGCCAGAAAGTTTATCGTCCCCTTGCTGTCCCCTTACGTCCCCAACAGTAGAGAAACTTATAAAACAAAATGTTATAGTAGGTGTCCGAATTGACCTAATTATTTAGGACTCAAATTTTAGGCTCTTAATTTCTTTTCTCACTATTCCTTTTCCCAACTATTGTGTTCTTTTTGGTGTTTTTGTTTGAATGTTGCTGATGTTATGGAATATCTGGAATACACGATAATCTGTCACTATTGCCATTACTAGAAATTTAGAACTGCTTCACAAAGATTTCAAAATTGTTTTGCAAGGCCTTCTAAGTCCTCTAATATAATGGTGATAGAACCTTGACCTCTGCCGTGAAAGTTGCCCGAACTGGTCTGTGGTCTGACAATCTAAACTCACCTCTATTATACTGGCTTTGCTTCAGTCCCTTGCCAAACCATATAATCCGGTCACACCTATAGAATATTTTTCTTTATTAAATATGCTTGTTCCATTTGCTTTTAGGTAAAATAATTCATATGTTCTTTGGCAACTTACCAAGCTGGGGCTCGATTCTTTCCCCTTCTCCCGTTCTGATTGCAGCCATAATAATCATCAGAATCTGGATAATATTTGTATGTTGGTGCAAACTCAATTTCTTCCTCTTGCCAACCTTTGAAAATACAGCCTTCTCTTAGCTCGGCCTTCAGCTTCATATTTCCAAGTTTTCAATGTGAACTTCCAAATAATGGTGATACTAGGAGTACAAACTTACTGTATATTTGAATGCTTTCTGGAACTTTATAATTGTTATTTTTTTTGCTTACAGTACCTGATCCTTTTGTAATAAGATGCTCCACTGCCTGTCGTTGACTAAAGATCTTGTTATGGCTTCAGGTAAGTAAATCCTATAATTCAGGTCTCCTAGCCAAATCACCCTACTGTATGAGATTAACCAGCTTCTGGTTGTTAGAAGATAATTTCAATATATTCACAAGTTGGTATATAATAATCAATATGTACAAAGTGAAGTCTTCTTTGTTGTACCTATGACATGTCAGCTAGCCATGTCATCTACAGTATGATATCAACCAGCTTATGGTTGTTAGAAGACTTTTCAAGATATTCACAAGTTGATATATAGGAGTAATAATCAGTTTATACAAAGTGAAGTCTTCTTTATTGTGCTAAGAAAGACGAGTGTAAGACTACTTGCGCAAATGCTGACATGAGGGTTATATGCATTTAACACAATCTCTCTCCCCCTTATCTTTTATGTTCTTTTTCTCACCTAATCAACTGTCTACGGTCTTGGGCAGGATAATAGCATCTCCTTCTTGCCTCTAGGAAGAAACTGTGTTATCAGCACACTAGCTGCTGATGCTATATCAAGATTCAAGGTACTGTAACTCTAAAGGAAAATGCTAAGGCCATGAGAATCCAAAGGAAAAAATGTGACTGCTTATAATATTATGAAAAGGTAAACGTACTCGTGCTGTAGAATTTTTCTTGGCAAATGATGAAATGAGTCACAAGGAAATCTTGTGCGTGATAGTATTTGGGAGGCATCTGCATTTCTCTGTCTCTCATCTCCTTCTTTTCCTCCGGAAGCTAAGTGACTACACACAAAGCAGAAGCTTGTTTCATGCAAGCAAAATCTAACCGACACTGAACCCTGTATATCAATTACTGAAAATTAGTAAATTGAAAACTAGATGCATATGATTTTGTTTCTATCCCTGATTATGGAGTTACACCCTGGTGGCGGGGTGCAGCGTGTGCAAATAACTCAAATTTTATATCTTGCTTCCTATAATTTATCAGTAATTATTATATTTTGTAGGGAATGTGCTATTATGATCAAGAAATAGAAATTTACATCAATTCTTTACCTTGTTTCCGAGGTAGCCAAATATACCACAGCCTACAGAGGAGACACTTGTATGCCTGATAAATGGAAGGAGTGGAGACCTCGCCCATATGGTAATAAAAACTCCCACCATTTGCTTGCTAATTATACATTCAAAATGTGAGGAACTCTCTTTGTTTAGTGGGTAAACCTTTTGATTTTCTTCTTCCTCTACCTTCTGAAGGGTGATGTTATTGACAGCTATCTTGTTCAGAGCTGTTCTAATAAGAGAATTCCATTGCATGCATAAAATTGTGTTCTCCGGCACTATAACACTTCCAGCATTCAGAGGTACAATTTCTTGAAACCTGATAAAAGTTATTTGATCATGGCATGTACATTCTCGAAGTAGAATTTTAGACCCTTAATTAGCTACTGCAAATATCAAAGTACTACCTTGACCAAGCCAACCTGATATCAGATGGCAATGCATTTGCATGCTGCTGCTTACTCTCAAGGGCAGCCGCATATGCAAAATGCAGTCATCAGGTGGTTTGGTTCATTTATACCTATTAGTAGAAATTAGAATGCAGTATAGTGAAAGTAAAGGTTACCCGAGAACATAAATATCAGCCAAGTTGTTTCGTGTATCAAGCAAGCCCTCCATATTTAAGTCGTTAGGTGGTGCAATGCCTCCAACATTCCATGAGCTAATAAATAATCTTATTGAGAAGAAAAAACAATAAATAGGAGATACTGGAATTTGAAGACGAATTTAAATTTTAATTGTTAAATGCGTACGAAAAATTTTGTATGTCGGCTGAGAGTTCTGATGTTGTGTCAGAGTCAGCTAGCATGTTCTCATCGTCCGATCTGCTCTATAGGATGGTGTTTGCTGCAAACTTAGCTGCATGACCTTGAACAGAGGACGACAGAACAATAGACTAAAGAAAACCAGAATTTACTTCATCATGTAGGCAGAGTGCATGGGGAGAGAGAGAAGAGAACCGGAATTGAGAGAGAGAGAGAGAGAGAGAGCAGTGGTAATGGAAGCTAATAAGTTAAAGGAAAGTATATCTATATAAAGGGAAAGGAAGCTGAGGATTTGATTTGCAAAGGAGGGAGATGTAGAAATGTTAGGTCTTCTTTGGAATGTTGAGAGGGTAAATGATGCTATGAGTGGGTCTACAGATGCCAATAAGGAGAAAGGAATTGTTAAAACAACAGTTAAAATGAAATAGACAATTAAAAAGTATTTAATTAATCCATAATTGGAAGGCCAAGATCATAAGGGAGGTGATGTGAGCAATGATGCAAGTTGGAGTAGGATCTTCTGTTTAACTTTAAACTAATATTTCTTATGGAAAACCAATGAGATACTCTCATTCTTTTGATCACATAACGACTTTGTAACATTCAAGGATGGTTGGCAAGGTTGCCACCTTTGGTTTCTTAGTTGAGTTGAAAAACATTTTTTGCTATCTTATAACTAAAGAATTTGTCTTCAGTAAGATGATGATAGCTTATATGAGTGATTTTGGACCTTTTTCTGGGGAAAGATGCATCAATTTGGAGAAATTAGAAAATTTGTTGTGGTTTTCTATGTTTGAAAATAGCTTTTGCATTTACTGTAAACAAAGTAAGTTTTTTCGCAATTAAACACTCCGTCTCTTCCTTATGTTTCTGTTGTCAAACGTATACTTTAATCAAGAATCGAATTGTTTAGTAAGAAGCTCTTTTCTTGCTTGGGTTATTTATGGACAATGCATGAGTGAATAAGAGAATAGTATTAAAATAGGAAACGTACATGCACTCTAAGGTGTGGTCTAATGATCAATAAAGTGGATGATTCAAATCCCAATAAAAACAAAAAAAAACTAGGTGATTTCTTTCTATCTTGGTGATGTTTATCCATCATAAAGTTGTTGATATGCATGAGGAAGTATTGTCATCTATGTATTGAATTATCTCATGGTTAAAAGTTTTCCATGAAATCAAACTGTTCTCAATAAAGAGACAAGTATATAGGCTGTAAAGGGAGGGCGACTAACTATGGTGTGATTAGCCGTTAATGGGGTAGTAGAGAAGACAATTAGACAACAATGACTGTTATGAGACAGATATTTCAACTCGTAACATTATCATTCGAATTACAATCTTTTGACTACTGAATTGTTTCTTGAGACCAAAATATCATTTTCTTCAAGTAGGGTCATGTAGTCCATGCATGTGATTGGATGGACGGAGAAAACTGAGTGTTCAATTGGTCAATTCCATAAACGTACTAAGAGATTGAACTAATGCATATTTCAGTCAATCAATTGGTGCCCTTTCAGGCTTTCACTTATTTTATTAATAATATAACACAAACAAAAATTAATCAGGTCGTTTTGTTCTGATTGGCTTTGGCTACACCAAACATCCCGAATATCAACCAATGATGGTGATTTAAAAGTATGAACTGCAAAAATAACAGTAGACTGTTTGTTCTTTTCTAAGCAACGAAGACCACCGGTTATTGTTTAACCAAAGAAAATAATAATAATAATAATAATTCTTAGTCAATCACGATTAGTAACTATGATCTTGGAGGACGAATATTTTAATCCTATTTTCTTTCTTGTAGTAATAATTAAAGAAGAAAAACTCACTGGTATCTAGGGATGGCAATGGGGTGGGGCGGGGCGGGGGCGGAGCTGAGCGGGTTTCAGTGTTCGCGGGCGGTGCGGGGTGGGCGGGTTCTAATTTTTTTAAAATAAATTAATGCGGGGCGCGGGGGGATTTAAATTTTTTGAATTAAAACCTAAAACGCTGCTCTGCTCATATTGAATGAGATGTACTCTTGCTTTATGGGATTAGTTAGAATTCCTTATCACAGATTTACACACATTTGTCAATAATAAAATCTTCTCTATTATCTCTGTCTAAGAAACAAGGAGAGAAAAAGAGAACAGATCAGTTCTTTTTCGTTGCCTTTAAAGTAACAGGGAAGAGAGAAATGCAAATATTCAACTGCAATACTATATAGTATCAACTTGTTAAGATTGAAGTTTAATCAGTTTAGTACACTGCATCAGATCTGGAATTTACCAGCAATTATATGTACTTACGGCCTTTCAATAAAGATTTTGTTCTCCGTCTCAATTCATCTCACTATACAAAATAAAAATAAAAATAAAAATAACAAAATTTCTCTATGTTTTCTAATGTATAAAATTTCTACTAGGGATTCTTTAAAAAAATTATAATGCATTGGAATATGGTATCTTTCGATAATATTCTCAAATTAGAAAAATTATAATAAAAAAAATATAAGCGGGGCGGATATGTGCAGGGCGGGGCGGAGGCGGTTTGAAAACAGCAAATTATACTTTGTGGGGCGGGGCGGGGCGGGCTGAAGACTTCGCGGGTTTACACGGGTTTGCCCCGCAACCGCATCGCCCTGCACCGTTTGCCATCCCCACTGATATCTACGACTACCATGAATACAGGACATAGTTTGATCATAGAAATACAGTATTAAAAGGACTACATAGGTGATAGGTTGTTTCCTTAATCTTTGTCCACATAAAAACAGTACTAACCTGACAACATAGATTAATTTGATAATTGGCATACAAAGTTCCACCAATGATGCTGTTAACGAGATGCCTCTTGGATTAGTCAGCAGAAGGCATTCGAGAGATTTTGTTTTTGTCATAATCATTAATTAAGTAGAAGTTCAATGCAGGCCTACAATATGACTTGATTATGAAAGTATTTTTTTTTATATCTACTACATTGTCTTCAACTTTCTTTTTATGTTATTTTATTTTATTTAAAGACTATGGGTTTAATCGACTCAAAGAGTCCACATCGTCCTGGGGTGGCATAATTTATGAACCTCTTGGCTAGTGGCTATTCAAATAAAGAATTACGATTTGTTAGACAACAACGGTACTGGTACTTTACTACTAATATTTGCTAGAATATCATATATATCCTATTTAGTGATGGCCCCCAAACAAAACAGTTTAAAAATAAACGAAAACATAAACAAAGGTATTAGCAGGATGGGCGTCTGATAAGAACTTTTGGCGTGGATTTTGAACTCGTGAATAATAGGGGAGAGAAAATATTCTAGATTATGACAATTCCCTTCATTAAAAAGAAGCACAAAAGAAAAGAAAGAAGACGAGGGGAAGTGAAGGCTTGATATGCGAGTAAATGCACGGTGTCGATCGACAAGGTAAAAACGTACTCACATGGGATTTTTCTAATTTAATTAATAGATGTATGATAAGTATATATGAATAAATTTCTATAACTTAACAAATGATTAAGTAGCATATATTTGCATAATATTTAATCAATTAACCATAATAAGTTAATTTAATTATATTTGAAGTAAACTCTAAGTGAGGATAACAAGCAATGCGAACACATAGAGAGAAAAGTTGGGTAATTAAGAGGCGTGATATCAGCACAGCTCTTTGGATATTTGAGTTAATTTAATTGGTTGACATCCCAAGTGGGGAAATCTATACGCTTTTCTCTAGCAGTGCAGGCATATCATCTCTCTTGTCTATTTCTTTTAAGTGTCCTAAAAAATGAATGATTAGTGCCTTCGTCACTTCAAAAATAGAATAAGAAAAGAAAAGAGATAAAAATAAACAAATGCTATTATTAACACAACTTGTAGATGGCAGTGTGCGTATGAGATTTGCACTGCAAGTTGCACAGATACGCTTGCGTGCATACGACTCGGCACTGGCATTCCCCATGACTCAAGTTTTTGATTTATTTGGTTGCTTGCAAGTGGCAACTATAACTAAACATTAAAAGTCGTTTTCCAAATTGTACCGAAATTAGAGCCCGACAAGAAATTTTTTTCGAAATTTTTTTACTTTTTCTCGAAATCAGCATTTGGTCATAAAATTTTCAATTTTCACTTGAACATACATTTTGAAATTTTTCGAAAAATTTGAAAAACTCAAAACAACTATTTTTCAGAATTTTCACTCAGATCACTCGCAAAACTTTAAAAACAACCTTAAATTATATTTATGTCCAAACACAACTCTAATTTTCAAATACCATTTTCACATGAAAAAACTTTTTTTTTTTTTTTGCGGTTTTATAATTCTTATGTCCAAATGCCCACTAAAATACGTAAATCTCCAGGATCCTCACCTATGTTTTTATTTTATTTTAAATAAAATTAAATACATAAGGAAATTGGGAAATGGTTTCAAATGAAAGACATTGAATTGAATTTAAACTTATTATGTGAGAAACTTTTGCCTATATCACTAAGTTACAAGCATTATGATGACACTAAATTATGGTTGGTGTAAAAATATGGGTCTCATGTCGATTCCTCCATTATCTGCTCCCAGGAACTTCTCTTCAATCTTCTCCGAAAAAGTTGAAAAATATTGTAACTATACGTTTAAAATGTGCAGTCTGTCAAAACACATGATAATAAGCTATGTACTATATTCATACTTGTTCAAAAAATCATATTATAATGTTTGCATCAAACCATCATTTAGCAGTGAAAGCATTCACAGTTCCATGAACGTATTTGTCAAAAAAATTATCTTAACTGAGGCCATAACTTATTGGCCATCGGATGTCTGTGCAAAATGTGAGCTCCGCCTAATGCCTTCCTCAATCTGCACCTGCACCATGCTGAGAGAGATACTGATCAGAAGTCATGCGCCAATCCATTTCCCCAGTACACGTTTGAGCCCAACCTTCAAACCTAGGGGCGAAGCTATGTTGGTCCAAGGGTGGTCAACTGACTATGTATAAAATAAAATATTACTTGTTATTGATTAAAAATAAACTCTGAACACCCTTGCATAGCCCACTGGCAATGGATGTTCTAAATTTGAATACCCTTATTGAATTTCCTAGCTTCGTCACTGTTCAAACCAAATGTCAGATTGGCATTTCTGGCATCTCCAGAACGTCAATACACACTGTCAAATACTGTAGATGATTGAAGATACAGTTTTATGAAAATCGTGTATGGAGATACATGCATCTTTTTTATCTCATCAATCAATTAATGCATACTGCACAGAAAGCCTATCTCAGTGAAGACATTGTAAGAAATCAATATATTACCAAGAGATAATCTTTCCATGAATTTTTTTATTATTTAGCAAAAAAGAAATATACAATGTTACAAGTTGCCTAGGTAGTTACTTTGGTTATTCAACCAAAACTTACTAAGGTATTACCCAAAACACCATTTAATGGATGATGTTATAACCATTCTTACAAAAGTCCCATTTGTTTGTGCAATTTGAGTGGTGGTCAAAATTTTAAACTACTATAAGCAACATCTTGAGCAATGTCGCCACTGATTAGATGACATTACATTAATTAACAGTGTAAGCTTTTCCACGTTCAATGTGGTCAAACTTATTTAGCAAGTTCAATTCTCTTAATTCCCTCACTTAATATATAGCCTCATTGAAGGAAATCCCAAACTTGGCATTGCCAATCTCCTTGGACTCAAGTTGTCGCTCTACCTCCTTTGATCAAGCTATTCCTTTGAGTCTTCAACATCTTCACAATCTTTGGTTCAACCATTCAATTATATCCTTCATAACTTCTTCTTTTTCAGGTTCGAATAACAAGTCATGCAACAATCCTTCACATAGCTTGATACTTTTGTCAGTTGAAGAAGCCTCTCGATAGAGTTTCTTAGAGCCTTCTGGATCAGTTACTGCATCATCAGTGCCATGAAGAACTAGGAATGGTACTGTCAACTTGCTCATATTCTGTTGCAAGTAGGCAGTGATCTGAAGGATCTCGTAACCAGTTCTTGCTCTAATGGATCCAGTGAATACTAGTGGATCTGAATACTTGGCTAATAATGCTGCTGGATCCCTAGATACTGTTATACCTGTTTGATTTGCCGCGCTCAATTGGAATCTTGGCATCAGGAAAGAGACCACTGGAGCCAGAACCTAAAAATAAGAAAAAAACAGGTCTTTTAAAATCTTTTTGTGCTTAGTGGAAATAGAGGGATAACAAAGAAAATTTATTTAAGATGACATTTACTGTGATAATCGGATGAGCTGGTTGAATTCCTATAGCAGGTGAAGTCAATACAACACCAGCTATATTAGCTCTCACCTTCACGTCAAGTGCTGCCTACAAGTAGTATCAATATTAGGTCAAAAAGAATCTTCAATAGCATGTTAGAAGATGGAGTAATATAGTAGCTAATTACCATTACAACAACAACAACGACCCAGTGAAATTCCACTAGTGGGGTCTGGGCAGGGTAGTGTGTACGCAGACCTTACCCTTACCCCAAGGGGTAGAGAGGCTGTTTCCGATAGACCCTCGACTCAAGAATAGCTAATTACCACTGTGATTTAAAAATTACCTTAAGGAAAATTGCTGCACCAGTTGAATGTCCAAAGCCAAAGCACGGAAGTCCTGGATTTTCATCTAAAACCTTTGAGAGAAAGTTTTTCTACAACAAATGGAAGATATTCAGGGTGAATACATAACACTGAAAAGTTAGTAGTAACTGTTTCAGCTTCTTTAATGTCTTTATCTATGCAAAAGTAAAATTATATACCATGTCATTTACAGCATAGTCCAAAGAAGGAACAAATGCATGCAATCCATCACTTCCTCCATGTCCTGCACAAAGAAGAAAATTAAAAGGGAAAGGTTTCAAATGATTCACAACTATCCAAGTAGGTAGAGAATATGGTGTCAATCAATGGGAAACTAACTACTCATGAAAACAAGAGTAAGAAAGCCAAGGTTCAACTAAAGCAACTATAAGTTGGAACAAAGAACAAACCAAGCCATGACAAGAGTTCATATATAGTCCTCTAGCTACTAAGTGACTGCATAAGAACACGACGATTCTTGGATAACCTGCTTGCTCTGAAGTTTCAATTGAATGAGAAGTAGGACATGACAGTATGGTCCTCCATTAACCTATCCCCCTCTGTTTGTCTCAGTGGACATGAGTATGCTACAGAAATTTTCCATATTCCTCCTTTAATACCGTGATTGTGAAAGCTACAGTTAAAAGCAAGAGAGACACTGAAAGCTGTTAGCAATGACTTCCTCAAATTAAATAGAAGGTTTTATCCCTAGTAAAATCTTTGAAATTAGAAGCATATGTTGATACTTTCATCTGAGAGAACCATACAAGACTCAAAAAATGGAAGAGGACAGAATTAGTGTTAGTAAAATTATTAGCAATCGTTTGTGATTACAGAGGAAAAAATCTTAATGGGCTGAAGAGCCATTTAGACTCTAACTTGGATATTGCTGAGATGATCAAACCTGATACTGCAGCGAAATGAATCTAGTTCCCCACTTCAAGAGGCGGACCCAGAATTTTTATACGACGGGGCACAGTATTCTTTTTAACCAGTGCCCCTAAAGGCTTTTAGTGTTCAGGGTGCCAAGTACTTTAAATTAACCATTTTCAAGGTATATACATATACATATACCGGATTTCTGCAAAAGCTTACGGGGTCCGATGACCCCTCACTATAACACATAGGTCCGGCTCTGCCTACATCCTAACTAATACGTAATACTTAATAGCATCCAAAAAAGAAAAAAGAGAAAGACATGACACATCAAGTTGCATCTGAGAATCCATTCACAAAATGTGGAAAAGAAATAAACAAAAGACACCAGAATCTATGAATTATCAGGAACAGAAAACTATATATTTCAAGCACATGCACAGAAAAAACCTTACCAATCCAATCAATTCCATAAACTTTATACCCGTTAGCATTCAGCTTCTTGGCAAAGTCATCATACCTGCTACTGTTAATGAATGTAGAGTTTTTAATACGATAAACATGAAAATCGAAGTTACAACCACATTACCACAACAACTCTTCCAAAGCTGGTATACAGACCTGTGTTCATTCAGACCATGCAATAGGAAAACCAATCCCCTACACAAGGAAATGACTTTGTAAATTTTTATTTCAGAAAACCACATATGTATGAAACTTGCAATAACATATAACAACGGACATTTACATGGTCTTTAATCTCTTATCAATTTGATTACGAGCTTTTTGAATAACTGATGGGAATAAAAAATGGAGGTTGGTCACTGAAGGTAACCTTGCACCCAGTTCTAAGAGTCAATTAAGGGGAATAATTTGTGCACATTTTTTCCACATGGGTTCATGATGGAGTGAATAATGTATACTGCCATTAGCCATATGCATGTGAAGACTGAAATAGTTGTTGTTCGCTGCCAATACATGTTTACATCAGGAATAGTTTGAACAAAATTAAATTTGCAGCATGTATACGGTCGAAACCGGGTTCGTCCATTGTTTGACCAAGGCGCAAAATTAGATCGTCGAACTTGTGACTCGAGACCGAGCAAGATCGAGGGAAACTTGCCGAGCCAAATAACGGAAAGCCGAAATATCCGCAATTAGTTGAGGATCACGGCGGAAATCTCGGCACGTATCAAGAAGAGGCCAATTAATTAGCAAATCATGAGATTTTTTACCTTGTATAGAATTATACCAAGAGTAGAACACCCCTACTATATAAAGGGGGTTCTGATCATTTGTAGGACACATTGTAATATGCACAAAGAAAGCAATATACTGATCACTTCTAGTTCCTATCATCTTCTTGTTCAATTCTAACACTAGTTGAGACATTTCTTGGCTCGAGGGTGATCAAACTCAGAGGCTAAGGCTATTCAATTTTGTGGTTTGTATTTATTTTCTTATCGTTAATTTTAATATTAATCTGTCTTTTTAATTTGTATCAAGTTATATCACGTATCCTTAAAACGACGTACAAATTCAATTGTTATCCCAATTTTAAGGGTAAACACAACAATCACATATTATTGCGGTAATCAGTTACAATATGCAGTGCAGAAGAGTTGTTCAAAATTAGTTTGTTGATATTCCCCTTATTTAAAGAGAGTTTGTGCACAAGGCAGTGAGAGGAGTTGTTTGCAATTAGTTTAAAATGCCCTTATTCATTTAGAGATAATCTTATGGATCCAGGTTCTATCAACAATGAAATATAACAAGTTACAGAAAGTGGTAATATTCTTAACAGCATATATAGTTAAAATTGTGTGCCAACTGGAGTGATGTATAATTTTGAGAAGATCAACCAAATTAAAGTCATGGCTAATACAGTCATATACAGACAAAGAAAAAACAGTCTGCTCAACGCTATCATAACAGTCATACAAAGAAAAAACAGAACAATCACATATTCACAGTAATGCGAGACTAAAGTGTTGGAATTCTTGGGAAGCTGTCCACACTGGGGACCAATGATCAAAAAGTGCCAAGGCTTCAATATTCCTTGCAAGTACTCCATGATATCTTGGTCTAAATTTAAATATGCATAGTTTAGAAGTTCTTTCCTTTTCTATAATGATGAGAATATTTTCCTCTATATTCCAGTGTGTGGTTACTTGAAATTTGAAAATGTTTTCTTGAACAAAAACATGGGGGGTGGGGGGAATGTCATCTAGAGCAGTGTATTTACGAGACCCTGTATTTCTATTAATTAAAAACCCACTAAATATATACAAATATCTGATTATGAATCCAATTATTGCATATTAATTTGAGATTACGGTAGGAACCCAACTTCAAATCCTGGATCTGGCCTCTGGACATATCACTTGTATCAACCAAGTACGTGGATATTGCTATCAAACTTCAATAAAAGAAGGATTCACCAAATAACTAGTCTTATACCACATATATGTCACATATTACAAAAAATAGTTTTTCTCAGGTAAAAAACATTTTACATGGAAACACATGCACAAATAATAGAAATTTATTAAAAGCTTGGGACCTCTCACAAACAGGGAGCAGAAGGGCCTCTGAATGTGGGATAGAATAATCTTCAATCAACGAAAACGTTGCTTAATTCATTTCAGTCGCACAAATACAGTCAAACCTCTCTGTATCAGTCTTGTTTGTTCCGAATATTTTTGAATGTTATAGCGAAGTACTGTTATATAGAACATATATTATAACATAACATGAAAATTGGTTCCGAAATAGCTTGGCGTTTATAGTGAAGTGTTGTTATATGAGGAAGCTGTTATAGAGAGGTGTGACTGTAATACTCCGACTATTAATTTGTTACCTGACTTTGAGGGAAACGGGTGTCCATGACTGCGTAAACATGGTATCTCCTCTTGACGTGACAAAAAGCGAAAATTCCCTCACCGTATTCTTATCATCAACATCCTCAAGCACCCTTTTTATGGCCAGCGCTCTCCTCGCCGCCACCTCATTATCCACCACGTTCTTTCTCGGCACCATCTTTGCCGGCACTCGCACCATTGGCCCCTTCCGTTCGATCATCTTATCAAACTGAGAATATATATTAATTAATTAACCATATAAAATGACAATCTTTCTTATAATGAAAAGACACATAGTTACATAATTACATTGTCATGCAAATTACAAATTAATATCAGGTAAATTTTTACCTTCTCCTCCTTTGATCCAGATGTTGTTGCTTGCGACACCATCCGCTTCCGCCCACGAAATGGCAATAGCAACAATAGCACGAATGCACTGAGCAGCAGCCATAAACTCTTCAATACCCGTATGGAAAACAGGGCACTGATTATCCCGCTTGGCCCTGACGTTAGAATCATCGCTGCTTCGTTCGCCTTACTAATATCAACCGCCATTGCTCTTCTCACAAAAGCAATAATTCAACTCGAATATATATGCTTTTCTTCTCCTCTCTTGTACTATTATTATTATTATTAATCCCACAATGGAATCTAATTCCTTGTGGGTACGTATGGTTTTCAAGCAGATGATATACTAATATGTAAAGCTGATATGGGAATCAGAATATTATATGTAAATCTGTTTAACCAAAAAATATAATTTCGGTTAAAACTAGAATTTGAGATGAAAAATCGGGTTACTGATAATCAAGAGACCAAAAAAGAATAATAGGCTTTCTGAGAATAATAATAAAGCAGCAAACAAGTTTTTATTTCAGTATGATGTCCACAATGATCTTTTCCCAATTCAACTTCCTCCTTTTATAGTTGATTTTAGATAAAGGAATGAAACCTAAGCTTTAATGAGACAATTATGGACAATAAATGATATTAAATGAGCCGTTACACAATCATTCCTATTAAATACCAATTTTCTAACGTATCAGGTATTTAATACTGAATTTGGACTCCTTTTTGTCTTCAGATCCATGTTTTCAATGCCTTTTGATCCACTGGCTTTAAATGACTCGAATTGATACGAGACTCGTATCTAAACTGCTTCTCGTGCCTGTTTCACTTCCTCTTCTCGTACCTGTCATCTCCCGTACCTTTTTCTTAATTGTTATACTTTGACTATTTGTCCAGTCCACGTGTCACGCCACGTCATCTTCAATATAAATTCAACTTTTTCCCAATACAGATAGTCCCCCCACTTTCCATTTATTTATCAATTAAATATTTGGGAAGTGGATCTTCATTAAAAAGGGAATTTTTGCCATAATCAATGCGATGACAGTATTGCCTCTTCAATTGTCTCTTCTATTTAATGCACCATATATGTGTCGTCTTCTCATTAGTTCTGCGATTTTGCAGCCTTTTTCTAAGGCTTTTGTAACTCCACTATTCACGAAGTGATAGTTGCCTTTATTATAGGCTTTCCATCATTACACTTTTTAATTACTGACGGTTGAGTTTATATATAAACTTGCCCCTTTTCTTTCTTTGTCTTCTTCTCCACAAATCTTTAGCAAACGTTTTTCTTCCTTATTTTTGCTTCCCTTCGATTCATCTCTGCTCAACAATGGCGTCTCCAAACCCTAACCCTAGAAAAGTTCCTATTTTAGACAAATTCCCCAATGCCCCTGTTAGACATAGAAGAGACAGGGGAGGCAGACTTCGTACAGGGTTAGAATCTACTCGAGGCGGCTCTTCTGGTTCTTCTTCTAGGAGTTCTATTCTGAAAACTCCTTCTTCTAAAGGTAAAGAAATTGCTGATTCTTCTCGAGAACCTTTAGTTGATGAAATCGTACCAAGTGATTTATCTTTTGTAAGTGATAGACAATCCCTTCAAAAGCAAGTTGCTGGTTTAGACAAAACTGACACATATCCTACATTAGTGACCGAACTTACAATCCCTACCATCAGAGGAGATTGTAACTGGAAAAATAGTCTTCGAATGTCAATTCCTTCCATAAACCAAAGAATTTCTTCTTTTAGGATTGGATACTCTTTTGTCTACACTTACCCTTTTACTTTGGGTTTTAATCCCCCAATTGACCCAATCATCCTCGATTTTTGTCGTTTCTTTAATATTTGTCTGGCCCAAGTTGGTCCTTTAGTATGGAGAGCAGTGGCTTGTTTGAGATATCTTTCTACCAAAGCCACTGTTAATTTCACCTTTTCTCACCTTATCCATTTATACCACCCTAATTTGATACGTCATACGTCATACGAGAAGCAAGAAGGTTTTGGTAAGTACAGAAGATGACAATGATCATGGATGGTATGCCCGTTACGTTGCTGTGCGTACGGTGGATTTACTTGGTGAAACAAATATTCCCTTCCCTGAGAAGTGGAATTTTGCACGTAAGTTTTTTTTTTATTTGACCGTACCTCTTTTTCTGTTGAGAATTTCGATTCTTTTTCTAAATTTGTCTCTTTTTGGTTTTTTGTAGCAACCATGGGAGATGTGGAACCTGTTCCCAACTTTCGTGGTTGGGTAGATTCAATTTTGAAGGTTGCTCCTAAGGAGCAAAGAACTTGGAAATCAATTTCCGCTTTACATGGCTGGAAAGTTAAAACACACGGTATTGCCTCTTTTCTTTATACATTTTTCTTTTTGCACATTAAGTACTTTTTTCTTAATGTTGATTGTGTATTCTTCTTTTAATCAGGATTTGGTAACAGAGGAATGACAGCTGATGTTGTCACAGCCCTTCGCATGTCTGGTAATGTTGCACTTGACTTGGGCAAGACTCGAACCTTGCTTCAAAAAAGGAAAGCTATAGGAGAAGGTTCTAAGAACGAGGAAGAGGGAGGTACCTCGTCAATAGCTAGGCCACGAATTAGGAGACGAGTTATTAATGATGATGAAATTGAAGATACTCCTGCTCAAACTTCGACCACCGAGCCTGTTTTCCTTCAGATGAAGACACCGTGCCAAGAAACACAAATGAATCAACTCAGCATCTCTTTGAGAGTGGCGAGCTCGGACCTGTTTTCGATGAAGTTCCTCTTTCTTCATTCGCACCTATTTCTTCCATTCCTTTGCCAACCGTAAGTGTTTCTTTGCCAGCATTGACTACTTCTGTTCTTTCACCAGTTTTAATTGCTTCTACTTCCATTCCTAGGTCTACTTCTTCCGTTCTTGTTCCCACTCCTACGACTCCTGTGGTGTTTACCTTTTCTACTACTCCCCCTTCCGCTATTCCATCTTCATCTGTCCCACATATAGAAGTAAGTTCCAGCAATAGAAGCATGACTATGGGAGTGTCACACTCGAAATCCCTGCTAATCAAAGCCTCTTAAGAAAATCTGGGAGAGCTGATACTTGGCTCCAACCTCTTATTGGAGAAATTGAAAAGAATAAGATGCAAAGCCATAGTTGTTACACTTTGATGAATGACATAGTTCATTCAACTTTGAAGGTAATTTTCTTAACCTTGAATGCTTTCCTTCTTTTTCTTTCTAAGTTCTCACTTCTATGCTTTATGACCGTAGGCTAATCTTATTGGGACTGAATTGATGGGGCGAGTTTCTACATTGGAGAAAAAGGAACGAGAGTCTACAAGGGCTCTATCTGAGGCTAGGAAAATAGCTGAGGATGCATTATTTGAGGCAGCAAACTGGAAAAAACAATTTGAGAGTACCCAAGTGACTGTAGAAGAGTTGCGGGAGAGCAAGGCTCACTTGGAGCAACAAAATCATGGCTTAACTTCTGAATTGGGAATTGCGAATGCTTCTTGGGGTCAGCTTAAAGAGGATAAAGAGCTTCTGGAACGTTCTTTATCTAGAGCCAATGATGAGATTAAAGAGCTTAAAGCACTCATGGAGAAGAAAGAAGAATACGCAAAGGAGTTAGCTCAAAACTTAAGTCATGCTCATAATGATTTAAGAATTTCTTCTGATAGAATCCGTGCCTTGGAAAGTTCTCATGCCTCTCTTGAAGCTTCTCTGGATTCTCATTTAGCCGAGCACCAAATAATGAAAAATGACCTTGCTATGTGGGAAAAGGAATACAAGGCTTTGGAGAAGGAATATAATGCTCTTGAAGAAAATTTCAACATAGACGTGAGTTGGGCTTTTCTAAATTCTCGACGTGATGCTTTGATGGAGGCTACACAGGAAAACTTTGACTTGCAATCTGAGTTGGCCAAAGTCATAGACACTATCGAAAAAGGTCAACAACCTGCTGATACTCCTTCTCCGGCACTTGGAACTATTGACACCCCTTCTCCAGCACTTGAAGCTCCTGGAACAGAAGAGTGTTTAAACTCCGAAGCAGTTACTGAGGTACTTGAAGTTGACACAGTCCATGGAAATTGAAGTTCCTGTGACTGTTACTTCCCTCGTTGATGTTATCTCTTCAAGCTCAGCTGAAATCGCTCCTATTGCTGCTTCGTCAGAAGTTGTAACCGCACCTGTTATTGCTTCAGAAAGTGATGTTACAACTTTTAATGATTGTTAATGTTATCCCTTGGCAATTTTGAAGGGATCTTTTGGTGAAGTCCCCAGTTACCATAATGGGGCACTTGTAAGACAAATATTTTGGTGATTTAAGTTTTTCCTCAGTCTTTTATGTTAAGAAATTTTATGAGTATTTCTTTATGTTTTATTCTTGCCTATTTACTTATTTAGGACTTATAGAATAACTTAGCATTTTAATTCTTTGAAAATGCTTTATGATTCTTCTCATGGAATATCAACATGAGGCTTATAAAAGAGGGCCCTTTTATATATATATCGACACTTAATGAAGAAGACGTCTCAACTTCATAATGGTGTTATAATACGATGAAAGAAATAGGAATACACATGTTTTGTATGCTACAACTTCGACAAGTTTTTATTTATGAACTTGAACAAACGTTGACATGTATTAAAGTACATCTATAACTTTCTCGCAACTGTTTTCCTTGTAACAGATTTATATAAAAGAAGAACAATAGATACGAGGTTTTTCTTTATAACCCGTTTTAGTACATAGTCCCGACCCCATCTTTAGGAAGGGTTTGAGAGGTGACTCCATTGTTCCCATGGTAAAGAATACTATGTATGCTTATGCTTGGATTCCATAACCTCTGCTCGACACTTGTTTCTTGATTTATGCATCTATTTTCCGTACGTATCCGTTCTGTGTTTATTGTACAATCCCCAAGTGTTTGATCTGTGAAATATAAAGCCTCAAGCATTTGTTTTTCCTCTTGACTTGGTCCTTTTCCTGAAACAGAAGAATTTGCGGGACTCGGAGGTTCGATTAGAGATGAAGACTGCCTAACCCGTGTATTTTTCCATCAGATTACTTGTAACCCTGGGCTGGGAATTTAAGACTATTTCCTTTTGCCGTACAGGTCGTGACTCATCATTTGTCCTGCTTCTACCCATTTTAGTGAAGTAATCTGTAAGCACAAGTAGAAATTTTACCTGACCTTTTGCTAGTGGTAAAGGACCTACAATATCCATTTCCCATTTCATAAAGGGCCACGGAGCTATGACAGGATGGAGTAACTCAGCTGGTCTATGTATATTATTGCCGTATCTTTGACATTTGTCACATTTAGACACGAAATCATTAGCTTCTTCTTCCATCTTGGGCCAATAATATCCTGCTCGAATCAATGTTTTTACCAGTGACCTCCCACCAGCGTGACTTCCGCAATGTCCTTCATGTACTTCCCTCATTACATATTCTGTTTGAGAAGGTCCGAGACACCTTGCTAATGGGCCACCAAACATCTTTCGATAAAGATTCCCTTGATGTAAACAATAACGGGCAGCTTTTTTGCGAAGTGCATGAGCTTTTGTTTTGTCGATAGGCACGATACCATGCTGTAAAAAAGCAACAATTTCATTTCTCCAATCCCATGTTAAATGATTAAAATTTACCTCATTCTTATCAGGTTCGAGGACGGAATGAAATAGATGTACGATTGAAGTATTTGTATCATTTGCCACGTCTGCTGCTGACGCGAGATTAGATAATGCATCTGCTTCTGCATTCTCGTCTCTTGGGATCTGCATTACCTTCCAAGTTTGGAATTGTGTTATTAATTCCCGTACTTTTTCCAGATATTCTTGCATTCGAGTTTCCCTGGCTGTAAAAGTCCCCAGTATTTGATTAACCACGAGTTGAGAATCGCTCTTGATTATAATCTGGGTTATGCCAAGTTCCCGTGCCAGTTCTAAACCTGCAATTACAGCCTCATACTCTGCTTCATTGTTAGTTATAGAATGACATTTTATAGCTTGTCTAATAGTTTCACCTGTAGGAGGTACGAGAACTATCCCTAGGCCTGTACCTTTTACATTAGAAGAACCATCAGCAAATAAAATCCAAGTCCCCGGATTTGCACCATTAAAAACTTGTAACTCTTTTTACTGCTTCTGAATGCATTCCCTGACTAAAATCAGCTATGAAATCGGCTAATACTTGAGATTTTATTGCAGTTCTAGATTGATAACTGATTTCATATTCGCTTAACTCTATGGCCCATTTTGCTAACCTTCCTGATAACTCATGTTTATGCAAAATGTTTCGTAATGGAAAAGAAGTAACCACAACAATGGGATGGGATTGGAAATAAGGTCTCAATTTTCTAGATGCCATGATCAAAGCTAAAGCTAACTTTTCTAGTTGCGAGTATCGTGTTTCAGCATCTAACAGAGATTTACTTACATAATAGATAGGAGATTGTTTACCTTGGTCCTCTCGTACTAAGACAGCACTTACCGCAACTTCTGATACAGCCAAATAAATGAGCAACTTTTCACCCTCCTTTGGTTTTGCTAATAACGGCGGGTTTGACAAATAAGCTTTCAAATTCCTGAGAGCCAGTTGACAATCTTCGTTCCATTCAAAATGATCTTGTTTTTTGAGTGCTGCGAAAAATTTAAAGCACTTCTCCGAAGATTTGGAAATAAACCTCCCCAAAGCCGCAATTCTTCCTGTTAATCTTTGAACCTCCTTCTTACTTGTAAGGATATCAGGAATTTCTTCTATTGCTTTGATCTGAGAGGGATTCACTTCAATGCCACGGTTAGAAACAAGAAAACCCAAAATTTACCTGAGGCAACTCCAAATGCACATTTTTCTGGGTTGAGTTTAATATTAAATTTTTGCAAAATTCCAAATGTAACAGATAAATGAGAAATATGATCATAAGAATGCTGGGTCTTGACGAGCATATCGTCTATATATACCTCCATAGTTTTTCCTAAATGTTCTTGGAACATTTTGGTGACCAACCTTTGATAGGTTGCTCCAGCATTCTTGAGACCAAAGGGCATTACTTTATAACAGTAAGTCCCCCTGTCTGTGATGAAAGAAGTTTTATCTTCATCACTGGGGTCCATTTTTATTTGGTTGTACCCCGAATATGCATCTAAGAAACTTAAAAGTTCATGCCCTGCAGTTGCTCAATTAATTGATCTATATGAGGTAGAGGACGGAATCTTTTTGGACAGGCTTTTGGTAAGATCCGGTATATTGTACACAAAACACACGCACTAACTACCGTTTTTTCTTAGGTACGACGACCTATTAGCCAACCAATCGGGGTACTTTACCTCACGGATTGACCCAATTTTTAATAGCTTTTGGACCTCCTCATTGATCACCTGGTTTTTGAAACTCCTTGCTTTCCTTTCTTTTAGTTTAACGGGTATGCAAGATGGGTCTTCATTTAGTTTGTGAGTCATTACATCCGGTGGTATTCCTGTCATATCAGCATGGGACCAAGCAAAACAATCCACGTTAGCTTTTAAGAATTCAATTAACATACCTCGCGTATCTGAGCTTAAGTTGGCTCCCACATAAACCTTTCGTTCAGGCCATTGTTCAAATAGTATCACAGGCTCGAGCTCCTCAATTGTTGTTTTGATGTTTTCATTCTCTTCAGGCTCTTGAATCATATCAGGTCTCAAGTCTATATCTGTCTTTCCTCGTTCCGTTGTGGTTTGGTCTATGTCTTCTTCAACTTTATTTACAGCACTCGTATCTATTACCATATTAATACTCCTAGCTGTATGTTGTTCCCCTCGAATTTGACAGATTCCCCATGGTGATGGGAATTTCATTACTTGATGTAGAGTTGACGGGACAGCGTCCATATCATGAATCCACGGTCTCCCCATGATTACATTATATGCCATCTCCATATCTACTACCTGAAATTTGGTATCTTTCACAACACCTTCTGCAAAAGTTGTTAGAATTACCTCTCCTTTAGTTACAACACTGGAATTATCGAATCCTGTTAGAGTATGCGCCTTTGGAATCATCTTATCCTCCGCTTGCATTTCACGTAGTACTCTTAATAGGATGATGTTTGCAGAACTTCCTGGATCAATCAAAACTCTTTTTACATTAGTATCATGTATAAGTAAAGATATTACCAGAGCGTCGTTGTGGGGGGGTGATCACTCCTTCTGTGTCTGCATCATTAAAAGTGATACTTTCATCCTCTAAGGTTTGACGCACTCGTTTCCCGTGCGTGATTGTGACTTTGGAAACTTTATTTGAAGTTGTGTATGTTACTCCATAAATATCTTCTCCCCCACTTATAACATTCACGGTTCTCTTGGGTGATAGGGGTTTTGGTGGCTCTTGCCTGTTTTTCATGTAGGCTTGCTTTCCTTTCTCGCTAAATAACTCAGTGAGATAACCTTGTTTCAATAGATGGTCCACTTCACTTTGTAAGAATCTACATTCTGAAGTCTTATGCCCGTGATCATTATGAAATTCGCACCAATGATCTGGATTGCGCTTGTTTGGATTTGATCGTATCTCTTTCGGCCACCGTACCTTATCTCCCATGCTCCTTAAAACAGCTACGAGCTCGGAGGTAGTGACATTGAAATTATATCCACCAAATCTCGCCTTCAAACTTCCATCATCATCTCGTGCCCCGCGTATGTTTCGATTATTCGCAAACCTTGACGAGGAGCCTGATTCCCTGTTCCTTGATTTTTGATCATATCGTTGATTATCCTGTTTTGTTCGTGAATCTTTTCCTGCAGGACCCATATAAGGATCGTACCTGTTTTTACCTGATCTTTTTTCAGTTTCAGATCTCCTTGAACTGCTTCTTTCTTCATGTTGAAATCGAGGCATGGTATCTTCTTCGATTCGCAACTTCGTACTGTACCTGTTATACACATCATTCCACGTGGTTGCAGGGAACTCTCGAAGGCTTTCCTTAAGTCTTCTCGTGGCTTCAGAACTTTTAACATTTAGATTGCTCGCAAAAGCTATTGCAGCCCAATTATCTGGTACACGGGGTAAAGTCATTCGTTCACGTTGGAACCTATCAACAAAATCTCTGAGCAACTCTGTATCCCCTTGTTTGATTTTAAAGATGTCCTCCATTCTTTTTTCAACCTTTTGTGCTCCTGAGTGCGCCTTAATGAAAGAATCTGCAAGCTCAGCAAAAGAGTTTATAGAGTTTTCAGGCAAAAGAGAATACCAGGTTAGTGCACCCTTGGTGAGTGTTTCACCAAATTTTTTGACCAACACGGACTCAATCTCCTGCTTGGTTAAATCATTTCCTTTGACCCCTGTAGTAAATGCTGTCACATGGTCACGTGGATCGGTTGTGCCGTCATATTTTGAAATGTCAGGCATTTTGAACTTTTTAGGGATTGAAAGGGGAGCAGCACTTGGTTTCCAAGGTTGTTGTGAATATTTATCCGCATCTATTCCTTTGATTATTGGGGGAACTCCAGGGATTTGCTCGATGCGCTCGTTTTGTTCTTTGAGCTGTGTCTGCAAAGTTAGTACCAAATTTTGTAAATGAGAATTATTTGTATTACCTGGATTCATTTCTCGTGGTTCAATGGGGGTTCCTTCGTTTGAATTAACAAGGCCAGAACGAGGATTCTCCAGCGTATTGTTATTAGGCGAAGGTGTGGACGGTGCAGCAGGTAACCGGCTAACTAGCGCCTGAAGAGCTTGGCTAACCCGTGCATCAATTATTCTTTGCAGAGCTTCTTCTGGTCCCTCAAAATGTTCTGATTGCTCTTGCTCATCAGCATGTGATTTAGGAGTGCCTTCACGAGATTGACGTGGTGAATTTTGAAGAGAAGGGACCACGTTAAAGTTCTGCAAATCTCCTTGATCTTGATGCATTTGATTTTCACGGTTTCCCAAGGTGTTTTCACTGTTATTATTGTCGTGTGACATGATGATAACAACAGATAGAATGTAACTTAAAAATAATAGATTATCAGATTCCCGGTAACGGAACCAATTTGTTTAACCAAAAAATATAATTTCGGTTAAAACTAGAATTTGAGATGAAAAATCGGGTTACTGATAATCAAGAGACCAAAAAAGAATAATAGGCTTTCTGAGAATAATAATAAAGCAGCGAACAAGTTTTTATTTCAGTATGATGTCAACCATGATCTTTTCCCAATACAACTTCCTCCTTTTATAGTTGATTCTAGATAAAGGAATGAAACCTAAGCTTTAATGAGACAATTATGGACAATAAATGATATTAAATGAGCCGTTACACAATCATTCCTATTAAATACCAATTTTCTAACGTATCAGGTATTTAATACTGAATTTGGACTACTTTTTGTCTTCAGATCCATGTTTTCAATGCCTTTTGATCCACTGGCTTTAAATGACTCGAATTGATATGAGACTCGTATCTAAACTGCTTCTCGTGCCTGTTTCACTTCCTCTTCTCGTACCTGTCATCTCCCGTACCTTTTTCTTAATTGTTAAACTTTGACTATTTGTCCGGTCCACGTGTCACGCCACGTCATCTTCAATATAAATTCAACTTTTTCCCAATACAGATGGAATTTTCAATGTAGATGGAGATTTATGGACATTTCAAAGGAAAATGGCTAGTCTTGAACTTGGTAGTATGTCCATTAGGTCTTATGCATTTAACAATGTGAAAAATGAGATCAAATTCAGGCTTTTACCACTTTTATCCTCTATAGCTCAAGAAGATTTTAGAGGGACAACTTTGGATTTACAAGATGTTTTTAGAAGATTTGCTTTTGATAATATATGTAAATTTTCTTTTGGTTTAGACCCTGGTTGTCTTGAACTATCCCTTCCCCTTTCACATTTTGCTCTATCTTTTGACTTGGCAACAAAATTGTCAGCAGAGAGGGCATTGGCAGCATCACCATTGATTTGGAAGATTAAAAGGCTTTTGGATATTGGAACAGAGAGAAAATTAAAGAAGGCCATTAATAATATTGATGTTCTTGCAAAGGAAGTCATAAGGCAAAAAAGAAAATTGGGCTATTCTATTCATCAAGATCTTTTATCAAGATTCATGGGCATTATTGACAATGAAAAATATTTAAGAGACATTGTGATAAGTTTTATTTTGGCGGGGCGTGACACAGTGGCCTCTGTATTAACAAGCATATTCTGGCTGTTAACGAGTCACCCTGACGTTGAATTAAGAATCCGGGAGGAATTGAGTCGAGTTATGGAACAAGATCAAGATTTCTTGACGTTTGAACAAATAAATCAAATGCATTATTTGAATGCAGTGATTCATGAGAGCATGAGGCTATATCCACCAGTGCAATTTGACTCAAAATTTGCTAGTGAAGTTGATACATTACCAGATGGCACATTTGTGGCTAAAAATGCAAGGGTAACATACCATGTGTATGCAATGGGAAGGATGGAAAATATATGGGGCCAAGATTATATGGATTTCAAGCCAGAACGTTGGCTTAAAAATGGTACATTTTTTCAAGAAAGTCCTTTTAAATACCCTGTATTTCAAGGTGGAGTTAGGGTTTGTTTAGGCAAGGAAATGGCACTAATGGAAATGAAGTGTGTAGTGGCTTCTATGGTACAACACTTTGACGTTCGGGCCGTGGCGGCCAGCGGTGATATCCAGTTCGATCCGGGGCTGACGGCCACCGTGAGAGGCGGGCTTCCGGTGGTGGTTAGGTGGAGGAGGGGCCTCTTGAATTTTCTAGCTAGTAACATGGCCACGAATATGGTTCAAAATGGAGATATTGGCTTTAAGTCTTAATATTTTTCACGTGGGTATATTGCATTTGGCCTATATTGGGCAAGGTTGTCTAAGAATAGAAACATTCCATTTTCGGTAGATGAAAGTTGCATCAATGCACACAAGGTTGTACCTATGTCCCCACCTATAATAATCCTAGAGGAATATTTTACTAGTATTATCGAAGAATTGTTCTTTCCTCTTAATTAAATTTATCTAAAAGCTTTATACATTAATGCTATCAGCACCCTTCATGGAATTTATCTTAATTTTTGGTAAATATTTATGAGTTTAATAATTATACGTAAAAGGTACCTATAAAATCAGATCACCTAAAAGTCAATTGTGGATAAACACATCTACATTAACAATAGCTTTAAAAAATTGGGTATTTGTAACTTGTTAAAATCAAAATAACTACTTCAACAACATAAAATAAAATAAAAAGGAGCTATAATTGGCATTGGAAGACAATTCGTGGTGATAATATTATTTTAATTTATCATCATTAAGACTTATTCCAAAAAGAAAATAATTAAGTTTTGAGGCTCCTAATTTAAGATATGAAATAAATTTTGATTAATACGTGTCAACTAAGTCCATCAATAAACAATGAACAAAACATGTGCCCGCACCGTTCTACTAATTTAAAGTTCATGCCCCATAATGTCTAATTTCTGATCTAGCGGTTTAATACAGCGTCACACAATTCACTCATGCGCACAGCTGCCAACATTAATAAAATAATAGCCTCTTTCTTTGTTTCTAGGAGGAATTAATTTTTGAACTAATTTATGATATCCTTTGTACGTGGATAAGGTACCCGAAAAGATATTCAAGAGACAATTCAGATTAGTGTGTTGGCTTTTGAACATTTACAAAACACTCAACAACTATCTAAACACGTATTTTGGTGTATGAGGCATATTAGGTGGTGGTCCCTCCGTTTCAAATTATTTGTCGGGGTGATTTATAAAAATAGTTATCTTAAATTATTTACTATTTTAGAAGTTTAAGAGTAAATTAGTTATTTGTTTCTATTCTACCTTTAATATTAATTGTTCTTGAACACAAAAAATACCTTAATTATGAGTAAGTATTAAATAATGAGAGAGTATATTTTAAAATATAAATAAGGGTAAAATAGTCAAAAATCTATCCTATTTAATATTTTCTTAAAAGACGTATAAAAGAGAAATACGACAGATAATTTGAGCGTAGGAAATACATAACTAAATAGATCAGAAGCTATTTCAAGATTTTTACTTTATGAGTTGAAGTTTTTATTTTATTTTATCACAGCCTATTTGATTTACATCGAAATTCTCTTCAAAGTCGTTCTTTGGGTTGGAAAATAGGGGAGAGCTTTTGAATAGTAGCTTTAAAATTCCTACAGGTTTTATGTGGGGTGCCCTACAAATCTAAAGCCTTAAACAGGCTATAAAGCTCAAGTAGTAGTGGCTGTCACAAGAAGATGTTTTTGAATTATTTGCTATCAGTTCAAAGACTTTATTGGAGTTTACGTAATTAAACATTTATCAGATAAAATTCTTGTCAAAGAAAATTCTTTTTGAGTGAGAATACCTTTTGGATTAACGTCTTTAAGATGCAAGAAATATATTTAAATAAGAGAAAACTAAGGAAGAGAAAGTCCGATCTCGTATTTTAAAGGGGGAAGTGCACGGTTGGCCACTAATAATATATGTATTTACTTTTAAGCCACCATTTAAAATGTCTTTAGTCTTTAGCCACTGCTTTAATAAACTTTAACTGCCCGGACGAAAATACCCTTCTGCTCATGTCCTTAACTTTTGTACTTAACTTCAGGACTCAGGACTACATGTCCTTAACTTTTGAACTTGGAACTCTAAGTTCAGGACTTTAGGACTACATGTCCTTAACTTTTAAACTTGTAACTCTAAGTTCAGAACTTCAAGGCTACATGTCCTTACCTTTTAAACTTGGAACTCAAACTTCAGGACCAAGCGTCCTTAACTTTTGAACTTGTAAGTCAAAGTTAAGGACCTATTGTCCTTAACTTTTGAACTTGTAACTGTAAGTTAAGGACTGTTTGTCCTTAACTTTTGAACGTGTAACTGTAAGTTAAGGACTGTCTGTCCTTAACTTTTGAACTTGTGTCCTTAACTATTGAACTTAACTTTAGGAAGTCAGGACTACATTTCCTTAACTTTTGAACTTGAAACTCTAAGTTCAGGACCATGTCCTTAACTTTTGAATTTAACTTTAGGACTTCAGGACTACATGTCCTTAACACAATTATCTTTGTCCTCAACTTTTGGCTTTTTACCATATTTTTCCTAATTATCTGTTGTTTAAGAAAATCTAAAAGTCACTTCTTTTATAAAACCAAAAGTCACGTCCTCCCACGTTGTGATTATTATGAGTGAAACCAAGCAATTCAACTCCTGAAAGCAGACACAAAAGAAAATGAGAGGCTTATAAAATTTATATGATTAATGCATTTCTTCTGTTCAAAATTGGGTTTCATATATGAAAATAATGGAAACACTCATACGGACCCCAGAACACCATTGCAGAAGGAGAAGTGGAGCTGTAAGGAATGGATCTGAAAATGGCGTATTTCCGTTTGGGAAGGAAAGGGTAATACTGCCTTTTCATATTAATTTTAATAGACTAGTGGCTAGTTTTGCTTAGCATTAAAAATGCTGGATAAAAAGTAAATACCAATAGTAAAAAGTGGCTATCCCACACAATTTTAACTATTCTAAAAGCATTTGAAATGGGCCCTAATTATTGAAAAAATAATACTATATAGCCGCTCTTAAAATTATAGCCGAAATATATATATATATATATATATATATATACATATACATATATATATATATATATATATTACTTCCTCCATTCCAATTTATGTGAACCTGTTTGACTGGGCACGGAGTTTAAGAAAAAATGAAGACTTTTGGAATTTGTGGTCCTAAACAAGTTAAAAAGGGGCCCAGAGTATTTGTGTAGTTATAAAAGCTCCTCATTAAGGGTAGAATTGTAAGTCTAAGCTAAATTGTTTCCAAATTTAGAAAGGGATCATTCTTTTTGGAACGGACCAAAAAGAAAATAAGTTCACATAAACTGGAACGGAGGGAGTACACATTTTTATAGCTACCGGATGTAAATAGTCTCGGCCGCGAGCTAAGAGTGATCTTTGCGGTTCTTTTTGAAAAGGAAACCACATTCTCTCTCGCCCTTCTGGGTCTGCTTCCTTTTGGGCTTCGGGTTTAAACAAGAACCAAGCCCAATGTGTTCAAAATGCGATTGTGACACAAGTAATAAAGTACTAGTAGTACTAAACGAGAAGAAAAAACAGAACAAATGAAAAGCTCTAAGAGCATGAAAATAAGACGTACTTTTTAAGGAGAAAATTCTCACTGCTGTAAAATAACCTAAGAATAGTAAATTTAGCGGATGGTTTATTAAAAAGGAGAATAAAAAATAATAAAATAATGACACTGCATAACCGTTCTCAAAATAATAGCTGAAAAATATATATATATATATACAAAAAATTTACAAATTTTATATACTTTTTGGCTACAAAATATAAATAGTTTTTGGCAGGGGCTAAAAGTGGTAATACCCCTAAAATAATAGCTCTCCCCAGCATAGGCAACCTATCATATCCACCACAAGAAAAAGGAACTATATTTCGAGTATAATAATATTAGGCTTGCGAAGAAGAAATAGTTATAGAAGGGTGGCACGTCAGGGGACATTAAAATTAGAAAAATAGAAGAAAATACTTTGCGCCATGGTGGAAAGGATTATGTTAACACCCACTCGATGATCAAATTAACAACGCCTATATATAATTATCATAACATATGTCTTATGTATATAAGCATATATATTTTATCACATTATTATGGTTAATGAATACACGTTTTTATCTCAATTTATTATATAATTATAAAAACTTAATATAGTGTTGTTGCATATATATCACGTGCCCGTAAGTTTTTCCAACCTTGCGATTGGTGCGGCACCATAAAATTGTCTATGTTAATTAGGGGTGGGCGTTCAGATCGGATATGAAATTTCGGTTTGGATTTTCAGTTTTCGGATTGACGAAATGACAATTCAAATCCAATCCAAATAAGTTCGGATTGGATAGGATTTTTTAAGTTTCGATTTTCGGATTTAATCGATTTTGGATTTTTTTTGAATTTTTCTGTTTTGAGCTTATAAGTTGAGATGTCTCTTCTTTTTACAAAAATGAATATCCAAATGAAGTACTCATGTTAAATTGCCTGAAAAGTTCTTCATTCTCACCGCAATCATCCAAATGAAATATTAAAGTAATAAAATTATTATATAAAAAAATAAAAAATACAATAGAGATGTTAATACGACAGATAAGAAGTAGAAATAGTAAAACCATGTTCAAATAGAAAGTATTCTCATAATAACTTAGTAATTAATATTGAATATATATGATAATATCTAATGGGTAGGGTATTGAACGTATTACTATTGACATATGGATAATGGACTAAATATAAAGTATAAGACTTTCGGATTTTCGGATATCAAAAAATTCAAAGTACCAAATCCAATATCCAATCCGAAAACCAACAATTTTAAAAATTAAATCCAAAGTCCAATCCGTCATCCGAAAATCCAAACCAAAAATCCAAAAAATTCGGTTTTCGGTTTGGATTTCGGGTTTGTCCAAAGTATGTCTACCCCTAATGTTAATGGAAATTAAGGTGTTTCTTTTCCTTGGTGGTTGGAGAAGTAGTATTATTTTCTCTCACAAGGCAGGGGTTTGAAACCAATAGAAATTAAGTTTTATATGATATTGATGTCAAATGGCATAGCGATTTTTATGGGCAATTATAAAAAAAAATAGCCAGTATTTGTAAAGTAATTGAAAAGTAGTCATTTTTTTTATGCGAAGATAAATTTTGAACATAAGTACCCTTGCTAAAACACGGAAAGTCTCAGCATAAACCTCACTCAACCCTCGACCGCTTCGTAGCCTCTTTCTAGGCTGCGTTTGACTTCTTCAAAGAC